AGGACAACGACGACGATCGGACACCCCTGGAGCAGAAGCTGCCCGACCGCGGGCACGGGCGTGCAACGTACCAACGCTGAGGGCGAGGGTAATTAAGGGCCAAGCCACACCAGCACGTTCCCCCGGCACCGCGGTCTCCGTGCTGCCCAACGAAAGAAAGGAGAGAGAGAGAGAGAGAGAGAGAGATACAGGGAGGGGAGAAGCAGGCAGGCGACGACGAGCGCGCAGGCGGGAGGCCAGGTTGAGGGTGAGGGGAGGCAGACGGCAAGGGTAAAGGAAAGGGGGAAGGTGAAGGAGAGAGGACAAAGACATCCGACGTCATGATTTGTTCGTGGCGTGGGCCGCAAAAAACTCTCGACACCATCTGGGGACCGTTTTCTCATCCCAGATAATGTGAGGGCATTGGACAAGGAAACCTTATATAAGGAATGCAGGGTCTGGAAAATGGTGGAAAACCAATTGGGGCTCCACCATCGAAATCACCGCCGCCCTTACCAGGTCAGGAATCCTCCAGGGTCTGGAGCCTGCTGGGCACATTATTTAACCAACGCCCCCACCGTATTATTGTTTGTTGATTCCAGGGCCCGCCATGGGCACCTTTGCCCTTTGCGGGCTGTGCCTGCACAGCCCTCGTTGGTCTCGAGCGATCTCCAGACCCTGACCAGGATTTCGAGGCATGTCTGGTCTTGGCGGCAAGGGCCTCCACAGAGGCCGCCAAGTCGCTGCGCCACGTGAGCCACGAAGATGAAAAGGGGTCTTACGCACGATGGCATGGCGACGTGATCTTGCGCGGTGGCTTACGCGGGCCGCCAGCGCTGCACACCACGTCTGAAAGAGGGCGCCTACGCACGAACTTACGCGGTCAGCTTGCGCGCGAATGTTTGTGCAGTCGACCCGCTCATTTCTCGGGGATGGACAAAACCCCCCTTCAGTAAAACGTGGTTTAGTGAAAACGACCTCGGGACCAAACCTGGCGGGCGCAAGCCTGGAAAATGACGGCCGCGGCGCCCTCTCGAGAACCGAAAACGGACATTACACTAATCGACGTGTCTAGAGGCCTCCCAAATGGGGTCCGAGTAGACGGGGTCGAGGATCTCGCCGCATCGCTGATGTATCGCTGATGCATCGCCGATGCATCGGTGATGCATCGTCGACGTCGGCGATGCGTCGGCGACTTCGGCGTGGAGAAAATCGGGCTCCACATCGAGCCGTCTTGTCGATGCATCGGCGATGCGGTGCGATCCTCCGACCTCATCTACTCGGACCCCATCTGGGAGGCCTGGAGTGTCGGGGTGGGGGCTCTGTCCACCCCCGAGTGCCACGTCGCCCAGACGCACGGGGACGGGACCCGAGGGCGGCCCACCGGGCCCGCTCGGCCGCTTGGACGGCCCGCGTCCTGCTCTCCACCGCGCCGGTCGTCGTGGTCGTCGCGGCCGTCGTCGGCGCCGCTCCTCGGGGAGGGGGAGCCGCACACCCTAGGCCCGTTCTGGGCAGAATCTTGGCTCATCCTCGCATGGGGGAACGAACAATGACATAAACATCATAACTGGGAGGTCCGCGCGGATTTCTCGGATCGGCGCTGGGGCCCCCTGGCCGCGCCTCCGGCGCCGCCCCTGGCGCGCTCCGCGCGACAGGGGCGGGGGTCCAGCGCGGAACCAAGAAATCCGCGCGGACCTCCGAGCGGAACGTCGTCAGGCTATCAAGGAGACCCTAGCTTTTCAAAAATCCTCTACGGATCCCATGGCCTCAAGTTCGTAGTTCCTTGGATGGGTCACTCAGGGTGGCGCCCCGCAGGACTTCTGCAGATGCCCGTGCGTATTTTCTGGGGCCTGGATTTCCAGCATTGCCCAAGAGGGTCCCAAGAACCGACTCTTGGAGCCCCAGAGGGCGCCTCTTGGCCGTCTTGGAGGCCCTGCCTGGGAGCTGGCCCAAGAGACTAATATCATCCCAAGTCCCTGAGTTCCTGCATGATTTTGACACTCTCGCCTTCTCTGTCTTCTGGCGGCGCGCACAATGGGGTGGAGGGAGGGGGGAAAGCTTCTTAGAAGGAGGCTGCTTCCTAGAAGGCGCCGGCCTTACATCTATAGATACGGCCCGCGCCTTCTAGGAAACAGAGGTGGTTCTAAGAAGCCCTCCCCCCTCCCCCCCACCCCCTCTGCGCGTGGCTGAGTCTGCTGGACGTCCCAAGAGGCCCCCAAGATTTACCCGACACGGTCAAAGAGCCGCCAAGAGGGGCCCAAGAGGACCCAAAGACGGACCCGAGAGGGGGAGCACGGACTGACATTTCGAGCCCTCCTCCCAAGATGGCCTCGAGATCCCCCGAGGCACCCCCAAGAGCCCACAAGAGGGGCCCCCGAGAGGCACCAAGAAAGCCCCCAAGAGGTTCATATAAAAGCGTTCCCAGAAGCGTCCAACGCGTCCAAGAGGTCTCTGACAGACAAAAAGGGCACGGCTGAGAGATTCAGGGGCACGTCATGCATCGACCTTGAGTGACTAAGCTGCGCAAGGTGCCCAACGTCCCCCCATGCCCATCGCGGGATGAGGAGCTCGCGTGGGGCACCTGCAAACTGGCTGTGGTCTCACTTGATGTGCATGCCGTGTGTCGCTCACCGCGTATCGGCTCCCAGCCAAGCTGGCAAGCCAGACGCCCAAGATCTTGCTTCCGCGATGCCTCGCCGCGCGACTCGGAGCCAGCGGGCAGAGAATCACTGGTGCCGACGAGGTGCACACGGTCAAGATCAGCCAATTAGGAGGGTCTGCAAATCTACGGGGAGCCTGGAACGCGCCGAGTCAAGGGCACCCTTGCCGTTGAAGTGGAAAACATGATGTGCAAGCACAAACCTGGTCGGACGAGAGGGGGGAATAGCAAAAGGGGGATTCAATCAGCGAATCAGCTCACGTGGCCGATTTCCCCGGCGCCGGCCGATTTCCCCGGCGCCTCCCGGCGCCAGAGACACCAATGTATCGAGGAACGCGCCCAGCGGCGGGGCCGAAGCCGGCTGCGGGCAGCGGATTCCGAACCACACCCTTTTCCCCTCCTCCACCTTTCGTCCCTGGACCCCCATTACGTCGACCCCCAGAGGTCTCGACCCATTCCCTGGGACCGTTTTCTGATCCTGACCCGAGGCCCAGTAAGCGCCCCCGGAAGCCCCAAACGGCAAAAAACCTCCCGCACCGATTCCTGCGGATGCTCAGCGGCCTGCAGCCCGCTCTTGACTGTGCCTTCCTCCCCCCCGCCCACCCCCCCCTCCTGGACCGGTCGCCCCCTCCACGGCGCGCCCGCCCTCGGCCCCGGCGGTGGTGATCGTCCCGGTCGCCGCCGCGGCGGTCGTCCCGGTCCCCGCGGCGGTCGCGGTCCCCGCCACGGCGGTCGCGGTCCCCGCCGCGGCGGTGGTGGTCCCCGCCGCGGCGATCGTGGTCCTGCCCCGGCGACCCCTGGCTGAGGGGCAATGTCAAGGGGGGATGGGGGGGGATTCATCGACCTCGAATGGCCGATGCATCGCCCATGTATCATCGATGCACAGACCGCCCCATGTATCGTCGATGTATGTCGTTGGGCAGCGTGCCCTGATAACTCCACGACGCATTGCCGATGCATCAACCATTCGGGGTCGATGCATCCCCCCCCTGTGCCTCTCCCTCCCTAACGTTGCCCCCGACTGGCGCCCCTCGCCACGACGGAAGAAAGGCAACAGAAACGAGACGGCCAGTCCTTCTGTTGCCCAGAGCCTGGGCCTGTCGCTGGGGGCCGCCGGCTCCGAGCCCCCGCGGGGCCGTCGACAGAAAGCCGGCACGGGACGAAGCACGCCTCAGAACTCTGGGCCCGACGCCGAGACGGGGAGGAGGGGGGACGAAGACGAGGAGGAGGAGGAGGAGGAGCAGGAGGAGGAGGAGGCGCCCGGAGCTCCCGACCTGCCCCAGCCCTGCGAAGGGGACTCTCGAGCACGGGCCCCCGGTACATTGTGGGCTCCAGGTGGGCCGCCTGCCACCCGAGGACCCGCTCAGAAGCAGTGCGCGGACCGCTTTGGGCGACAGCTCTGGCAATCTCTACATCCTTCAAGCAAGTATAGATCGGCTACAGGATGGATTTACACCATAATGTTTTCTGACGGATACGCGAACACATGCATAAGCATCCTGGATCTGCAGAGGTTGTGCGCATATGTTTGTAGATTCGACGAAGATGTCCAGTTTGGGGTGAGTCGATCTCCTACTCGAATCCTGGCTCCGTTGTTGGGCCCGTTCGACGGGGCCCGAGGCGGGGGGCCTCCATGTGAGGCCGAGCATGGCGAAAGACCTGCTCGACTTCTGCGCTGTCCGCGACGACGAAGGACGTCTCAGAGGAGCAAAAGAACACCCTCCACCCGGACATGCGCGCGTCGCGAAAAAGTCCGGACAGGAGGGGTTTGGCCGTTTTAGGCCTCTGGGGGGGGGCCCTTCCCGCGCCTCCGGGCCGTCAACAAAACGACTCAGGATGAAGAACTGGTCGTGGGGAAGGGGTCGAGGCCCTGGGGGTCGACGTTGCGAGAAGATCACGACGTCGGGGGACTGGGACCACCGCCACCAAGCACTCATCGGGGGGCCGACCCCTGCGAGGGCAGTGGCATGGCCGACCGTCACCCAGTGCAGGACGGCGCTCCGGCCTGCCACCTCCCAGGGTTGGAGGCGCGCAGAAGGGGGCAGGGGGGGAGGGGAAGGCTTCTTAGGAGGCTGCTTCTTAGAAGGCGCCAGCCTTACATCCACAGACCAGGCCCGCGCCTTCTGAGAAGAAGGGTTGCTTTTAAGAAGCCTTCCCCCCTCCCCCTACACCCCCCTGCGCGTGGCTGACAGGGGGCAGCCCCTCGCGATGGGCGATGGGTCCTCGATGGCGGTGGCCACAATGCCCCACCTCCCGACGACCGTGTGTCGGGTCCTCTTCCTCGCGCCGCCCCCGGCGGTCGCGGTCGTCCCGGCCGCCGCCGCCGCGATCGTCCCTGCCGTGGCGGCCGCCGCCGCGCTCGTCACGCCTGTCGTCGTCCTTGCCGTCGCGCTCCGCGGGGCGCCGCGCCTGGCAGGGCGCCGTGCGAAGGGCACTCCTGACAAACGGGGGCACTGTGCCCGGAAAAGCTGCAGCCGTCGGGCGTGAACTAATGGGGGGCGATGCGTGCGGGGGGGGGGGGGGGGGGGAAAGGTGCACTTCTCGGGCCCTGAAGGCCCCCTTCTAGGGCCCTGAAGGGCCCCTAAAGGGCTCCTTCTCTGCAGCCCTCGCTGCCCCCCCATCTATCACCCGCGCATTATACTATGCCCAAAGCCGTGCCCAAAGCCGTGGGCCGAAACACTCTCTGGTCTTCGTCTCCTGCCGCTGGATCTGGCAGAGTCCTGGCATGCACGGCTCGTCATCCTCCTCCTCTCCTGGGCACCTCGCCTGCGTGGCCGCGACGGTCGCTGCCTGGTGCGATTACGCCCATCACCGTCGCCGCCTCTGCCAAACTGTTGCCCTCGTCCGTCGAGGATCCAGCTGGGAGGCCCTCGGGCGATTACAATGTTCCTCTTGTCTTCCTCCACAGAGGCCTCCTCTATAACATCTCCAGGGATGGGGGCTGGGGGGCGGAGTCTGGGACTCGTCGCGGCGAGCGGGGGCTTCCAGCTCGGACCCTCCCAATGATCTCCTCTCTGCCGGGGACGAGGAGGGGGAGGAGGAGCAACCACGAGTTAGCCCAGCAGGTTCCTCACCCTCCCACGGGCAAGCAGGAGGAGGATGCATGAGGAGGAAGAGGAGGAGGAGGAAGAGGCGGAGGAGGAGGAGGAGGAGGAGGAGGGTGCATGAGGAGGAGGAGGAGGAGGAGAAGGAGGAGGAGGAGGAGGAGGAGGATGCATGAGAAGGAGGAGGAGGAGGAGGAGGGAGGAGGAGGAGGGAGGCAGGAAGGAGAGGAGGGAGAAGGAGGGAGAATGAGGGACAAAGAGTAGTGGATCATGAAGACTGCATTGGCCTGCCTCAAACGAGGCAAGTCCGAGAACGAGGGGGCGAAGAAGGGGGAGGGAAGGAGGGAGAAACAAAGAGGGAGAAGGAGGATGGGGGAGGAGGGAGGACGGGAATGAGGAAGGAGGATGGACGGGGCAGAGGAGGGAGGTGGAGAAGGGCAATAAGGGAGAAGGAGTGATTGTTCGTGCTCCGCCAGGGAACGCCGACGGTGCTAGCTGTCGGAACGGACTTATGCCCTCGCACTTCGCCCGACTGGATGAGGAAAAATCACGGAGATCCCGGTGCACCGGGATACCACCCCTTTCCGCACTGTGGTTGGACGCCGACCGCGTTCATAGCGGCTACGCCGCTCTTTGCGAATCTTGTCCAGGCAGAAACGTGGCCGCCTAGCGAAGCCCTTAGGCTGGACCTGCACAGATTGGACACACTGGACACAATACATAATACAGCAAGACCTCCGCCTGCTTTCGGGAGACCACATCTAAGGCCTCTGATCGTCCCGGCGAGCACGCGGTAAGAAGCGAACTCTCGAAATCCGCTCCAACTCTAGGGCGCTTAGCGCTAACATTCGGATGCCGTACAAACCTGCCAGTCACTTAGACCGTGCAAGCAACGCGAGCACTTCCAACGCCCGATGAAGCGGGCCTTGACGGCCCACTGGTTCCGTGAGCGCGGCGGAAAATGGGCCCACCCTGCCGCAAGGGCAGGTCGCTCCGCCGGTACGCGCCCGAGGTTCCGCAGCCAGCGCCAAATCTCAGCGCAGGCAGCCTCGAGCAGCAGCTCTCCCCGGGTGCACATCGGCGACGTGGGAGTCTTGGTGGGCGTTCACTCCTATGGTGGCGCATGAGGAGACCCTTCTGTCGAGCCACCCATCGCTGGTGCCAAGCGTCGTTCCTCGGTGGAAGAGAAGTGCACGCGCACCCTCGTTAACGGGCGACTAGGTCGGCCACGTGGGCCGCAGGTAGGAGCCGAGGGAACAGGAGCGGGAACGGTGGAGAAACAAGGGAGGAGGCGGGAGAAACACGGAGGAGGAGGAGGAGGAGGCGGAGGAAGAGGAGGCTCAAGCGACATGTGCTCAAGTGTGACAGGCACCACGGGTTCCAGCCTGGTGCCACAAGCTTCCTGGTGCGCATGCTCCGCGGCTGAACCACCGATTGGTGCGCTCGCTTGAAAGCCGATGGCGGGCTGGGTGCTGCCATCGTGTGGACGCCTGAGGAAAAAGCAGGCTGTTTCGCATCAGCGTGTGCCAGTACAGCATGGACTGGTGTTGATTGTTGTCGTTCTCCATCGTCATCTACTGGTATGGGGGCTGTTTACTTGCGCTCGGGGGATACCCTAAGGGTCACGAGCGCCTATCGGCAACAATCCTTGGCGTCTGGGGGCTGATCACGCTGGTATCCCATTGTTCAGCAGGGCTGTTCGCAAACTCCTTTTTGGTGTGGCCCGCGGCCCCTGGAGCGGCGATGCACAGTTTCGGCTGCGGTGATGGCGTGGTTACATGTTTGACTGCAGGGCCCAAGCTCCACACTGTGGTCCTCCAGCCTGGTCATGGGGCTTGCTGCTCATTGTTCTCACGTTCGTCAGCTGGCCAAGCTCTTCTTCCCCCGCGGCGGTGAGGCAAACCACGGCTGGGTGGTCGGATTGGCGGTTCAGTTCCCTCTCGTCTGGAATCGTGGAACTCCAACCTTGCATCATCGGTGCTTGGAGCATGCTCGGGGAAATTTGCGCGGAAAGACTTGGTGGCGGTGCGCCGTGTACGTGTCCCCCTGTGGCTATGGCTTTGTTGCATGCGTTCCAATGCCTACGGCTTCGGAGTATGATGCAACACGCTGGTTTCCGCTTGGTTGTGGGTGCCGTAGTTGTTTCGTCGCGTACATGTGTTCGGCCTTTTTGCCCGGAGGAGTAGACGTGAGGGTCTGGCCGCTGGCCTACTTTTCCGCACTGCATCGAAGGCATCGGAGGACGAGGAGCAGGACAAGGAGGGAGTAGGAGGCAGGAGGAAGAAGAGGAGGCGGAGGAAGAGGACCAGTGTAAACCCAGGGTTTCATCAACGATGTTGGAATGAACCCTCCCTCCAAGCTCTCTCTTCCTAGGCCCAGGTGACGGCTCACTGCCACTGAAAGAACTGCCCCGTTGGACGACAGCCGTTTGAAGAGCCTGAAACGTGCCAGAAAATTGTTCCCGGGACTCCAACGCCACGGATCAACCTGACTGTTTCGTCTGGCCGATCCTGGGTCGTGCCAAAACGCAATATCTGGGACTTCAACACCGCGAATCAACGTAACTGTTGCGTCCTCGTAATCCCTAATCTTTCCAAAACACCAGTTCTGGTACATTGACAATGGGAATCCGTGACACTCCCGCACTGTTCACAAATTGTGCGCGCGGCGCTCAAGCGAGAGCCACATTTTGAAAACAAGCCTCTTGCAAGTGCTTAAAAAGAATGCGCGCGGCGCAAAAGCGAGAGCCACATGTTGAAAACGACCCGCCCTCAACCAGCGAAGCTCATGCACCTGTCTATACATGAATGCGCGCGGTGTTACGGCAAGATCCACATTTTGAAAACCATCCACCTTCAATCCGTGAAGCTCTTACAATTTGTCGAAACGGATGTGCGCGGCGCTAAGGCGAGAGCAACACCTTGAAAACGACCCGCCCTCAATCAGCGAAACTCTTGCTTTTCTTCTAAACAAATGTGCGCGGCGCTTGGGCGAGAACCACTTCTTGAAAACGACCCGCCTTCGATCCGTGAAACGCTTGCAGTTTTTTAGCGCGGCGCCAACGCGAGAGCCACATTTCGAAAACGACCTCCCATCCATCTGTCAAGCTGTTACCAATGTGTAAACTTCACGGTCGTAAGCGGCGGGGAAATCTCAGGCGAAACGCCCGGCCCGCCCTTTCGACCGGCTTCGGGGCGCGACAGGGAGAAATGATCTATAAGGAAAAAGAATGGAACAGGCCACCGAACCGGGGGGAGCGCATGTCTCCTTACGCCTGCGCCCCGCCCGCGCCGCTGACCGAGACACTCAGCTCGCGGCGTCAATGTCCAGGATGTCGGTGAACGATTGGGGGTCGTAGGTGTCGAGGGCGACGTTGGCGGCGAGCGGCTGGGGCGAGGTACCCGCGGCGCCGACGTGGACGAGCTCGTCGAGCTCGATCAGACGCCCAGCCTCAGACAGAGGACCCTCCGCAGATTGTCGTGTACCAGGAACTATCGCGAGCATGAGCGAGTTGTCACGCAATCGAGAACGTCTTCGCGCGACGGAGTACAGGACCCCTCGGCGTCGTCCCCATCGGCAAGTTGCGAGCTGCAAGCTTCCATCTGCACGCCCCCCATCTCGAACAGCTCTGGATTGAACGCCCCTATCGAAACCATCGCAGTGGGGGGCGACATAGACAGTAGTAGACCAATGGGCTGCGGTGGGTTGTCGGCGGAGCTCAAGGCCGGCAGCGGTTCAGATGATGAGCGCCGAGAGGGGAAGCCGTTCTCGGAGGCACGAGAACACCGTCGACGGCAGTCGCAGCATCAGCGTGAGCAGCTGGTAAAAAGTCCGAGTCTACCCCGGCGTCAACAGCTTTCGCCGTGGCCTCGCATTGCGCGCTGAGCCCATCGACAAGATCAGCAGCTTCACTCATCGAGGGAAGACCATTGCCAGAAGGTGATGGATGTTCAGCGACCTGGGCGAATGCGACGTCATGGCCGGCGTCGTGGTCAGGCTTGGGCGGGCCTATGTCCACGCGGGCGCGGAAGTTGTCGTCGCCGATGCGCTGCGTTGGTTGCGCCGGGGGAAAAAGTGGGAGCTCGCAAGGGGGATTGGCTGCATTTTCGCCATGGAAGACGCGACGGCCCGCGGGGCGCGCGCTCGAAAGATCAGGGCGCCAATCGCGCGGCTCGCGCCGAGGATGCGAGGCGGACCGCGAATTCTGGCACATGTCCGCGGTCGCCCGTCGACGCGCGCGCCGGGCGTCGGCTGCGCCGGGCGAGAACGCGGGCCGAAATATCTCGCGGGCCGTGGGCGAGCCCACCGCGTAGCCGATGCGCCCGATCACCCAACTCTGGCAGTCGCAAGAAGTCTCGGCAAATATAAGATTCCACAGCTAGGGCGGAGCCCAAGTCAGTGCTTTGGATGCGAACTGAGCGCGCGCCCGCTGAGCGGTGATCACGGGGAGGAATCTCACCGCCTCGATGATGCGGTGGATGCAGGTGACCTTGTCCAGCAGACCTCGACCGCGGGTCGCGACAGGACTCGAAACCGCGGCGACATCCAGGAGGCGCACCGTCGCAATGCGATGGGCCAAGCGGGGTTCCCGCGGAAACTGCCGCAACCGCGTTCTCGACGCCCGCGCGAGCCCCGCCTGCCGCCTCCCGGGCGCCATTCGTAGAGGAGCACAGCGACGGCTAGAGGACTGAACAGAAAACGTCGCCTCCAAACTTGTCGCACCCGCAAGCAAGGGCCGCCCCCCAAATGCTGCGAGTCGATCTGCGGAGACGGCTCAGCACTGCCAAAATCATTGGAAGATCATGAGCCTGCCGCATCCGAACATTGGGGGGCACCAGCTGCCCTCCGCGGGTAAGAATCGGGCGGGTCGCCGTGCAGTTCGGCATATGCCGGGGCCGACGCGCGCCAAGTTGAACGCCCAGAAGAGCGGTCTCAAGGGGGGGACGCGCTGTGGCAGTGGGCCAGAGATAATCGGAATGTCATGCGTCGCAGCCGGGCGCAATCCAATATCTAAGACAACCGCATCCACCGGCGCGGAAGAACCCGAGAAACCGAGCCTGCCAAGCGCGTCCGAGGGGCGCGAGCATGACGCGGCTTCCTCAATCAGAAAGCGAAGGCGCGGGCATGCCGGATGCATGCTTTGTCAGGTCGCCCGATGCAGCCAGAGCTGCGCAGCAGCCTTTCTTGCGTGGATGCACAGCGGCGCGGCGCGCCCCGCGCGCCCCTGGCCATCTCCAGACCTGACGCGGTCCAAGAAGACAAACAAGTCTTGAGGTAGCATGTGAAATCTTTCCATCGCGAAGGGGGGCGCTGCCGAGATGGCCTCAACGTCGAGCGGGCGCGCCCCGGCGTGCCTCGGAACGAGTTGCACGGCGGGTAGCGCGCGCTCTGCTCGTCAATGGCCTCCATTGCCATCTTCTGAATCTTGCTCGCAGGCGGCCCGCGGCTGAAATTCTACCAACTGCGCCGAATAATTGGATCGTCGCGGTCGCGTCGTTGCTGAACCAGCTTGGCGCGGAGTCTCCACGAACGCCCCCGTGCGCCTGCAATCGGGGCGCGGCGCGGGGGGTCGCGCGCCGCGCGGTCCAGCTTTCTGGAAGTGGTCGCCAGCTACGACGGCGCTGCAGGTCCGCCGCCGCGCGCAGCTTGAGCCGCGCAGGCATGTTGAAGACTGCCAGCAGACTGCGGGGGGGTTCGCGCCAACGCAACTTCTAGCGCGAAAAAAGCCGCTGGCGACACCCGAACTTGCGAAACGTAGCTGGGGGAAAAACACCACCCGAAAAAAAAACGCATAGTTGAACCACTTGGGCGACAAACGCGCTTCTTAGCACCAGTGCGCCGGCGCTGGCCTTGCGCTTGGGTGGCGGGCGACCTCGGGCGAGCCGCGCAGTCCGCGGCAGGCCCCGCGGTGGCGCCGCAATAGAAGCGCGCCGACGACGTCCACCGCCCGGTGCCAAGAGCCAGGTCTGCAACCGAACGGACTGAGTCACGAATCTCCGCCGTGAGCTTCGCCAATGACGGAGTCAGCTTTTCGTGCATCTACAGGTGGACAGGCGCGACGTCCTCTGCCTTCTGCGCGATGTCATCGACGATCGCGAGATGCCCGAGCGCATCGAAAAAGGACCCAGCACGGGGGGTGGGAGGCGCAAGTCGCGAAGACTTCGAGCTGGAGGCGAAAGTCGATAAGGGGGCAAGCGGTCGCCGCGGCGCGAGTCGATCCGCCAGTAGAGCAACCTCGAATGATCCCAAGTATGATCCACCACGCACGTCGCGGGAGGTCGCCCGGCATGACAAGCGCCTGTTGGGCGGTGCACAACTGGCCTGGCATTGAACTGAACGCAACAGGCGCAACCATCGCGCGAAAGAGCACGCGCGCGAATATCTAGGAGAAGCCGTGGAAGGCAGCGCGCGCGTCTAAAGGCGCGAAGACAGGCGCGTCAACGCCCGCTGTCGGCGAGTTGGAGCGGGCGCGCCCCGGCGCGTCGAGCGCGAACGCATTGGCGCTTAAGTTCCGCCTAGGCATGAATGCGCTCTGCGGCGGTGGCGCCCGCTGGAGGGGCTGCCTGTTGAACTGCGAGTTGACGCGCGATGTGAAATGTTTCAAGTCGGCGCCGCGAGGCCGCAGGACCCTCGCGTTGGGGGGCGACCTGGTGCATCCTGCGTCGGGCGAGTTCTATCGTCGTCTCTTCCTGTCGGCGGCGACACCTGCAACGCGTCGTCGGCGCGATTGATCTGCATTGGCTCGCGCAGAATCCACGTCAGTGCCTCTCCAAAAGTATCCGACCCCATGAGCGCGGCAACCCGCGCAGCGTTGGTGATCGCGTCGATGGCGGGCTCGGGGCGCTTCATCATGTAGACGGTTTCGCTGAGGAGAAAAGGAGAACTGGTGCCAATGTAATTTGAAAGAAATCGAGAGGTCGCGCGGGTGCGCTGATGAAATGCCCCGCTTCGCTGACGTCGCATTCCTTCCTCGCAAAATAGGAGCCCCACATTTGAAGAGCGCGCCGCACATTCGCCCGAACCGCAGTGGATGGAGGCGGCGCCGGGGCCCCCGGCCGTGCGAAGGGCCATGCGGCGCGACAGCGGGGGCCAGATGGCTGCCGCGCGGCCGTTCGCTTGATGCTGATTATTTTCCTGCGCCGCGAGCTCGGACCGAGTCGATCATGCCTGCGCTAGCCAAGCGATCACGTTCAGCGCGTTCACGTTGAATTCTGTCCGACCATAGCCCGAAGAAAAGAGGGCGACGAAGCTGGGCGCGCCCTCGGACGATGTCCAGATCCCGCCGCCGTCGGGCGTTGAAGAACGAATGTCGGAGCGCATCTCACATCTTCGTCGGGGCCATGGGCCCTGGGGAAGCCCGGCCGCAGAGCCCGCCCAGACGCCGCCAGGACCCGCCGGTGATCCACCTGCGCCTGCTGGTCCTGCTTCTGCTCAACTGCAGCTCCATGGCGTTGGAGCGGGCAGCGTTGTTGGTTCAGCGGTCTCGGTTCATACTCTCGGCCCTGGTGATCTGGCCTCCGAGGTCTCTGGCACTCTCCGCGCGGATTCAAGGCGACATCGGCAGGGGTGGCACGTCACGAGCTGCACCCCAACGCAACCCCGGGCAAGGGTGAGAAGTCTGGCGAAAAATGGAAGTTTTAGCTCGCCGCTTCCGCTTTCGCGCTGCAGCGCGTGAGTCCCTGCATCTTGGCTTGCAGATGGCATGCGGCGTGGAGCTGTTGCAGATGGCATGCTTGCCCTTTTGTATTTATGCAGCATGAACCCCGCGGAGAACATCGCGACACTTCTTGCGAGTTGTTGGCAAAATTGTGATACCGCACTTCGACATAACCCAGACGTTGACAATCTCGGACTCCGACGTGGAGCTCTACTGTGGCAAGCTCGTCCAGCGCTCCCGGCACCGACTTGGCGCTACCCCCTTCTGAACCACATGCAGCATTGAGGCGGCGGCGAGGCTGGCGACCTAGTCCTCCAGTGGAGGAGGCGGCGAACGAGCGATCCTCCAACAGTGGCTGACGAATGGACTTGACTGTTCGGTGACCTGGGTGCGCACAAACTGGTCGAGGAAGGCGTCGTTGCCCTCGTCGTCGTCGTCGGAAAGGCCGTTGTCGACTTCATTTGCAGGGCGTCCATCATGACGGGACTCACTGGGACCAGCGTTGCCACCACCAACAGGATCAATGAGGACAATGTCCACCGCACTGCTGAGCCGCAGGAACGCGAAGGGTGCGAAGAGCACGACGCCGATCCTTGAAATTCTTTTTTACACGAGACCCACGAAGTCCATCGCTACGAGTCCAGTCGCCCATCCGCCATGGAACACATGACCAAACGGCAACGGGAAATTCCACCGTTTACCGACCCGGCCATCTACGGGAAGTCGGGCGTATTCCTCCAGGAGCTCGCGGGAATATGGAAGCAAGCCGCGGAACATCGGCATCAATCTTGTTTCCGAGGAAACGCACATCTTGAGCCAAACTGGCTACGGAGGAAAAGGGGGAGGGGGGGGATGCGGGAGGAATATGGGGAGGGAGCGAGACGGAGAGTGCTTGGGCGGAGCGCGGAGAACAAGGAGGAGTAAGAGCAGGATGAAGAGGACTATCCCAGAGAGGTGGGGTGGAACCTCTTCAGACCCTCTGCAAGGTATGGTGCCGTTGCCCGAACATCAAGAACCAGTAACCAGTACACAGGGCGGGGGGGTGAAGAGGATCGCGAAGCGAAGCGACTGAGGAGAGGAGACGCGGGCGCAGAGGCGGGGGCCTTGGTCACCTCCTCCTCCAGCCGCCGCGCCTGCGTTTGGCACACTGCACGCAAATAGCATGCCTACTCATCATCATGCCCCGCCTTATTATCCTTCTACTCCTCGTCTCTACTCCTCCTCTAACCCGTCCTGCGTGACCACTATGTCTGACTACTATGCCTTGAGGCAAACGGGTCACAGCTTCAAGGACGCTGGATTGTGATTGCCTTGGTTGCGCACCTGCAGGCTGGCCTTGATTTCTTCCCGATTGCGACCACGGGCGCCTGCCCAAGAAGCTAGCACACATTCAGCATATGACACCACGTGCCCAAAGCTCCGACCACTTGAGGGCAACACCACTTCTCCAGTCGATCCCAAACCTGAAGCTGGACCCAAATCTTAACGTACACTGGAACACCGTCCTCCAAACCATCATGCCCATTTAGAGGGTTATCGTCCTCCTCGGGTTCCTCTTCAACTGTTGCTGCTGCTCATCGTTCAACCCTACTGTGATGCGCCGCCTCATGACCCAACCCCCTCTCCGCCTCCTCTATTGGCGATGAAACGCCATCCCTGCTACGCCCTGGACGGTAAGACGGGTATACCACACGCGTGAATCCTCGTCTGGCGGCGAGGAAATGCAACCACTGCTAAGCTACCTCCTGCGCACTCCATCGCTCGTGGTGGGTGAATGCCACCTGTGCCGCACCCTGGGTGGGGTGGTGAAACGTATAAAGAAAACACGCCATGCGCACCCCCTGTGGCGGCGAGGGGATGCCACCCCTGCCACAGCCTGGGATCGGGAAGCGCATAGAGACTTTACCACGTGCGCACCTTTCCTTGTGGCGAAGAAATGGTATACCAACGACGGCATGGGAGCGTGAACCGGATAGGGACAGCACCCCCTGTGCAACTCCCTTGGCGGCGAGAAGGTGCCACCCATGCCGCTGACACGCCCTGGGATCGTGAAGCGGATAGAGACAGCATCCCCCGCGCACCCCCTTGGGTGACTCGGGTGGCGAGACATTAACATCCCCACCACCCCCAAAGAAGCGTGAACCTCATATAACACCGCGCGCACCCCCTCTAGTGGCGGGAACACGCCAAACCTGCCACGCTGTGGGAACGTGATGCGGATAGAGACCGCACCCCCTGCGCACCCCCTTTTGGCAACGAGGAAAGGCAAACCCCTACCACGCCCTGGGCGTGTACGTGTTTGGGTAGGTGCACGTGTATGGGCATGTCTCTGCAGGAGTATGCGCATGTGTATTGGTGCGTGTGTATGTGGGGGAGGGGGAAGTAGGTGAGGTGTGGGCGGTGCTGCGGGTGCGGCCCAGATGGGAACGAACACCAAAACCCAATTATGGCATTGAAGACATCAAAAAACCGAAAGACGGAAGATTGCCTGCACATGCTGTCTCAATGGCCAAGACATGTTCTGCCTCCTCCTTCTCCTCCTCTTCCTCTACAACTCACCTCCCAATCTTGGTCATGACACTGCTAACCCATTCCAGTCCTGCAACTCCACCTCGCCATCCGCTAACCAATTTCGACAATTACGTCGTCGTCATCGTCGTCGGCGTCGCCCGTGTCCTCCCCGATCCCCCTCCCCCGCTTCCTCCTCCCACCTCCCTCCTCCTCCGCTTCTTCCTTCCTCTTCCAGAACGTCCTCTGCGTTCCCCTCCGACTCCTCCGCCTCCCTGGGAGACTCAGTTCCACTTCTGGAAATGATGAAGCTGACACCGAACTTTGGCCTGATGACTGCCTCACCCGTTTGTTTTACTGCATGCGCCCACTGTTCTCGATCATGGCAACCCGCCTGGCAGTCATATGCATGTCCGATGATACGACTCCCCTGGCACCATTCCCATCCAGGGGGCTGCACTTACGCAAACGTCTACATATGCACCTATATATATATATATATATATATATATATATATATATATATATAGAGATGTACGTGCGAGGATAAAACAAAGGTCTCTATACAGTGTTTGCACTTAGGGGTCCTCGGGCCTTTTCTCAGAAACTGGGCCTGCGGGCCGCTGTGGCTGCCATTTCGCCGCCGTCGCCATCTCGTTGCCGCCCGTCGCCACACGTCGCTTGGGCCTGCGGGCCGCTCTGGCCGACATTTCGCCGCCGTCCCCGACTCGTCGCAAACCACCCGTCGCCCGGGCATGCGAGCGGCTCTGGCCGTCAAGTGGCCGCCGTCGCCGCCTCGTCGCGGCTCGTTGCCTCGTCGCCGCCCGCTGCGCATTGATTCTCATTGTTCCGCATTGTTTTGCAGTGGTTTGCATTGTGTTGCGTGTTGCTTAACTGCTCCGCAGTGTTGTGCATGGCGCCGTACTCTTGGCACCTCAATACACCAATACCGATGTGCATGTCTGTATAGACACATGTATGTTTGTATGCATGTATGCATACATATACATATACATATACATATACATATACATATACATATGTGCTCGGGCCTAGCGCGTATATGTGTATATGTATATACATGTGTATACACCAACTATACTGCAACACAGCGTACGTCACATAGATTGCACCATGTGAAATGCACATGCGCTGCACCATCGCATTTTGCATTGCGGTACCTTGCTTGGCATTGCGCTGCATTGCGTTGCATTGCTACGCACTGCGTTGTATTGTGTTGTATGTCTTGGGCCACACGTAATGAAACGCAGCCTGCACCACATGGGTTGCACACCACGTGTTGCACCACATCGGTCGCACCACATGTATTGCCCCTCGTATACGGCACCACATGGCTTGCACCACCTTAGACTGTTCAACGTAGCTCACAACACATGCATACTTAGTACCACGAATATTGCACAACATAGACAGCGCTACGCATGCTGCGCCACATCTAATGCACAACCTGCTATATAGCACAACACAAATTGCACCCCATGACTCACATATCACTGCTCACGCAACATATATCTGTCTTTCCAAAAAGCGATTCGGAACTCCCCACCTCCCCCCCTTCGGTGAACGGTCCCCGTTTTCGTAATGCAATGTACATAAGATTCTGCTCCATCGTCGATCTTGAATATGATTTCGTGCCATCCCACCCCGCCGGGTATCGACACCCCCTCACCCTCACCAGCAACAACTCTGCGCGCACACTCGTTTATCGCCAATCGTAGAATTTCAAAACCTTTTTGCAAACACGCGAACTGTTTACGACATGCACACGCATGCGTCGTCGCGCGCGAATGCCGAATTTCTTCAACAACTTTAAGCTTCGTAAGGGATCCCAAATCGACTGTCCAAACAACATACAACAAAACACATGGTTTCGCAACGCGGACGCTCCAACAAAGTTTGCGCGCGCGTCCACAGCTATTCAACATGTTCAGAAAATGTTACCAAATGGGCTTCGCGCGCGCGCAAGTCAAAATCGTTTGAACGCCCTTGCGCGCGCGCTGTCACGACAAGCCTGTGCAACAAACAAGACAAAATCCACGCGCGTGCGTCGTCGCGCGCGCATGCTGACATGGTGCCGCAAGGATTTCAAAACCGACGGTCCCGAAACCGTATTCAAAACACACATGGCTGCGCAACAAAAGTTTTCAAGGTCAGGTCAGAAGCCTTGCGCCAGACGGCGCGCGAACAGGGTGAAACAAGACGGTTGCGCTTGCGAAGGGGCACTTCGGCACTCCATCCAAACCAGGCTCTGCAAAGCATGTCTGGCTGAAACCTGATAGAGAGGAGGAGGAGGAGGAGGAGGAGGAGGAGGAGGAGGAGGAGGAGGAGGAGGAGGAGGAGGAGGAGGAGGAGGAGGAGGAGAAGGAGGAGGAGGAGGACGACGAGGAGGAGGAGGAAGAACAGGCGGAGGGGATGGGGGCATACATCAATCGTGCCATGATATAACAGCTGCCTCCCGCGCTGCACCTGCACCGGCCTTCGGCCGGAAGAAGTCAGCCAGGCGGGCGCGGGAGCCAGCAACCTTCATGCAACTATTCAGCACCATGTTGCCCCACATCTGTCGGGGACGTCCTCGCTTGCGAGTCCCTGTCGGCATTCGGAGTTCGATGCCGCCTGGCTGGAACACGGAGCTGCGCACCGGGTCGTTGCCAGGGCGCCTGGCGAGCTTTCCTAAAAATACCATATGTTGCTTCGCAATAGCTTCGCTCAGCGGACTTTTTCCGGCGATACTCAAGACGGCGCTTTTGGACACGCGGCGATAATATGAGGGTGACGATTTCGGTATATCTTCTTCAAGCACCTAACCTGGATACCGTCCAGCCTTTTGCGCCCCGGCTGGTTTAAGCAAGCAGCACAAAAAAACAATAGCATAGTTTTGAAACCACACACGCCTTAAACATCTTCACCTTCCTACGCCTAGACGGAGTTGCGTGAGACCAGATCGAATCCAGCACCTTAAAATCTTGCTTCGCTGCGCCGACTCTCCTGCTCAGCTCGGAACCGCAGCGGCCGTCGGACGAAAGCTGGGTCCCGAGGTACACCAGCGCCTCCTTTTCCCGCACCGTCTCTCCAACGCTGTTCACCACGTGTGCGTTGGAGCGAACCCTCATCATCTCGACTTTGCTCCAATTCAAGCTCAGCCCGCACTGTTTGCCGCGCTCCTCCACGCAGGACATCAACTCCTGCACGACGCCCGGATTCGCATCTAGCAGTCGCGCGTCGTCGGCGTCGACCAACTCCCGCGCGAAGTGCGCGGAGGGGGCGCCCGGGAGTCTCTCGAGCAGCTTCTCACGCGCGCCCTGCAGCAACGTCGTCATGACGATGGTGAACAAGAACGGAGACAACGGGCACCCCTGGCAGATGCCGAAGCTTTGCCGCCGCACCCCCGAGTCTGCGCCGAAGTCAGACACAATAAATTTTCTGTCGTCGTAGATTGCGCCCACAATTTCCACGAACTTGGCTGGGCAGCCGAATCTCCGAAGTGACGTCGCCATCGCTTCCGGGGGCGCGGAATCGATCGAAGGCTTTGGCCCAGTCCAGCGCCAGTAGAGGGACAGTTCCGTCTTTTGTGGCCCATGCATCCTCGAGCGCGCGCCTGGCCACG